AGGAGCACCGGGGGCTTTTCCTCACTTTGCCGTCTGCGCACAAACACTCACCCACTGACACACAACAGCAACACCCCCCTATGCCCAGCAATGCCCCAGCCGACAGGCTGTGCAACAAACAGAGCACACAGAGCCCCGGCACACACAGGACATGCAAACCCACAATGACAGCGTCTCAGCCACGGTCTGGCAGGATGAGCAGAGCTCTCCCAGCACCGGCAGGCACAGCTGACACGTTGGACCCCAAGGCTCTCCAGACCCCGGGGCACACCCCTGCGCTCAGATGCTTCCAGGTAAACAGCTCTGCACTGTGACACGCAGCGTGGACACACACAGCCACACAGGCTCGGACGCAATCGCCGGGGGATGGAAATGGCCACTGCGGGAGCCCCAAACCCGTGTGCTTTGTCCCCGCCCCCAACCGCTGGCCCAGAGCGGCTGCTGGGACCCCAAACGCTTGCTCGCAGGGAGCCCCCAAGCCCGCGCCACAGACAGACGCACAAGGACACTCAGCAAAACGCACACTTCTCCAGGCAGGCACCAAGGCACCCCAGCGCCCTGCGCCCTCCCCCCACCCCGGGGGGTCTGCGGTCACCTGGCTACCCGGCCCAGGGCTGCTGAGGCCGCATAGACGGTGCGCCCTGCGCCCTCACCTGCTGGTGACTCCTTGGCGGCTGGGCCAACCCCTGCGCCGCGGTCTGCGCGTCCTTCCGCCGGCCCGCGGCTCGCTGTCTGCCCCGGCGCTCCGCGTCCCGGCAGCCCAGCCTCGGCGGGGGGAGCGCTCCTGGCTGGCGGCGCCGCTGTCCCCGCTCCTGCGCTCTCTCCGCAGCGCCAGGCCGGCCGCGCCGCTGCAGCCGGAGCCTGACTCACGGTGCCGGCGGGCGCAGCCACCTCCCCGCCTCCTCCCGCCCGCAGGGTGGGGGCCGCGGGCACCCGAAGGAAGCCGGACCCTCGGGGGCTACAGAGCCGGGCGGGGATGGGTCCTCCTACAGTGCCACCCGGTGTCCCCATGCTGAGCCTCCCCTGCCTCCCTCCCCCTCCCTCTTGTTGGCCCCCCAGCCTCTCTCCCCACTGTCTCTCCAGGAGGAAGACCCTTCATCCTCCCGCTGTCCTCCCCGCCCCACCCGCATCCACCAAGACGGCTGTCTGAACCCCTTCCCTTCCGCTGCCCCTTCTCCCAATGCCCAGTCCCTCCCCTCCCCACGTCTCAGTCCTCATCCCTCTTCAAGAACTAGTGCTGGCCTGGCGGGGCCCCCACCCTACACAGAGCCCAGGGACCCCAACCTGTACTCCTCCCCAGCACATCCGGGCACCTAGCCCAGCCCCCATCTGCTCTCCTGTGCCTGTGCACTCCCATCCCCAGCCCACCCTGCAGGCTCCAGGCCCCCAAATGGAGCATCTCTCTGAGCCCCACTCCACACCCAGCTCTGCACAGCCCGGCCCCTAACAGAGGCCCTAGCCCCAGAGGCTATCAAATCCAGCCGTCCCTGAACCTTGGTGGCCCCCAAGCAGCCCCATCCTTTCTGACCCCACAAAAACTCCTGATCCCCTTTTTCCGGATCTGACCCTACGCACCCCAGGTCAGACCCCTCAGCCTGACCTCCTGAATTTGCAGCCCTCACGAGTCCAGTCTTGAAGGCCCTGATCTCTCACTGGTTGGCCCCCTCTGCCCATGGAGCCAGATGTTCTCCAAGCTCCTAATGGCACTTGTCTCTGTGGGGACAAGTCCACTCACCTTCCCATGTCTCTCTGCCAGTCCTGCCTGTCCCACCTGGGCCGCAACCCTGGCAGATGCCCCTTCCTCCAGCCAACGCCCCCCGCCCAGCCGCAGCCCCAGCCCCCTCTGGGAGCCTCCAGTCACTCTACACCCTCCTGCTCTCTCACACTTGTCCCGAGATGACCTCTCCTTCCCGCAAAAGTCCCAGTGAGTCCCATCAGCAAGGGAAAAGGAAGCTCTAACCTTCTCCGCCTCTCCCGAAGCCCCTCCCCTCCCCGTGCAAGGGCCCTCTTCACCAGCCCACCAGCCTCCACAGACCCCAGACCCTCCAAAGCCCCCCAGAAGCTGCGCCTGTGTGTGGTAGCCCTACACTTCCTTCCCCTGCTTCCCCAAAGCCCCTGTCCCCTCAGAGGCCCTGGCTGCTCCCTGACCAGTCGACCTGCCTCTTCCATCTCCAGGAGCCTCTCCTCCAAGCCCGGGTCTTCTCAGGGGCAGTGCTCACCCGCCTATGCCCGGGCCTCTGCCGAGCCCTGCTCTCCCCAAACCTCTGAGTCTGAGGCCTTCTGGGAACCCCCTCGCTGGACAGGCCCCAGCTCCTCCCAGAGTCCTCCCCTGCCAGCCCCGCCCCCAGCCACCCTGGTCCAGCCTCCTCCATGGCTGTCTGGAACCCCAGGGACCTCCAGGAGGTTGATGAAAGCCCCGTGAGCGGGAGAGGTCCCTAGAACCAGGGCCGCACCCCCATCCTGGCCATACCCTCGGCAGGGCCTGGCCCGGCCCTGTCCAAGAGCCCACAGGCATGAGCAAGGATGGGGACGGTGGTGGGGACGAGGATTCAGTTCTCCCTCACACCGCACCCACCGGCCCCTTCCCAAGGGCCACACATGGCCCGCACCCCGGGGAGGTCTCAGATGGCGCCAGACGTGAGGAGCTCGCACCACGCCCCCAGCTCACCGGCAGCTGGCCCAGCCCCACCTGCACGGGCTCAGCCCAGGCTGCTGCAGGCAGTGGCCAGCAGGGCTGGTGGGCACAGGAGTCCGCTAATCCTCAGACAGCAGGGGAGGGATGCCTGCCCCAGGGGCCTGCCCCAGGTCCCAGGGTGGGGTCGGGGCCCTCTGCTCCATACAGCCTTGAGGCTGCCTCTCAGGGCCCCAGAACCCAGAGCGGCAGGAGTGAGGGGAGGGAGCCTTAGCTCCCGCTGGCCAGGGTGAGGGAAGGCGCTCTACTCATGCCGGGCGTCCTCCGGGCAAGGGTAGAGGCAGGAAATGCCCACCGGGGCCTGCTGGACTGGTGCAGAGCACAGCCAGCCGGCCGGGAGTGGGGCCGGGTGTTGAGCTCCCCGTGGGGATGGGCCAGCGCCCTGGCGTGGAGCGTCCTATCATCACCCACCTTCTCGAGTCAGACTAGAGGCCTGCGGTTGGGTCACAGAGCTGGATCTGAGCCGGGAGTCAGACACTAGGGTCCAGAGGATCCCAGCCAGCAGCCCAGGGCAGTTGTCCTGGCCCTGGGCTCGAGCATGGGCACCCGGATCCGTGGCCGGCTGGGGGCTGGAGGCTCAGCCTGGGCACAGGGCCACCCTGCTGTGCTCGCCCCCACGTTCCAGAGAGGGGGTGGAGGTGGCCCCGAGCTGAGGGTCACAATGTCAGGGCCAGCAGCGTGGGAGCTGCCCTCCAAGGCCCTGGCAGGCAGAGGCAGGTCGCAGGGCAGCCAGCAGGGACTGGAGGTGGGGGTGGGGCGGGGCTGTCTCCTTCCTGGCCGGCTCTGACTCCAGGTGTCCCAGGGCACAAAGGCTTGGAGGACAGCGTCTCCCCAGCAGCCCTGCCGGCTCCCTGCTCATGTTTCCAGTGCAGGGAACACAGGGCACGTGTTTATAAGCCTCCTTGCAAATCTGGTCGAATGTCTGTTGAAGGTGCCAGCTAGGGCTTGGCTCTCGGGTGCAGTCCCTGCCCCTCCTAGGGCCAGGCCAGTGACAGCCAGGCCAGTGACAGCCGGGAAGGCCCCAGAACGTTGACATCTGTCGTAGTTGCCATTTCCCTTACACCTGCGGGGCTGGCGGGGTGGGGGTCTCCAGGCAAGTGTCCAGAGTCGCTGATCCCAGTGGGAATCGTCCCAGTGGCTCACAAACTCCTGTTCATCCCTTCAAACCTCCTGGCTGTGCGGCTGCCTCTGGGCTGATGAGCCCAAGCCCCCCTCAGATCCGCGGGGAGGTCACTGCAGCCTGAGGGGATTCCCAACTGGGACCCCTGAACCCCGAGACTCGGGCCCCCAGGCTGGCCTGCTCCACATCGGCTTGCTTTGCACAGAGACGGCGTCCAGATGCGGCCAGGAGGCCCAGAAGGGAGGCAGGTTGTCCACTCGCCATCAGCCCTGCGCCGGCTCGTGTCCTGGGCTCTCATGGGGGTCAGGGGGCTGGGGAAGACCGGGGTCCCGCTGCTGATGGACATGTCCGGGGAAGCATGGCAGACACGTACCTGGGCCACTCCCCTCGACCCGTGCCCAGAGCAGAGCAGGCCCTGGCAACCTCGCCCGGCCCCACCCTAACCCTCCTGCCAAGGCCACATCCTGCGGCTCCAGGCCCCAGCCCTCAGGACGCGCCAGGCCTCCGCCGGCGACGCTGGGCAGCAAGCTCGTGCCTCCAGGATCCTCCATGCAGGGCAGGGGGGCTGGGGGCTGGGAGCCAGGCACCTCCAAAGATTCCCCCTGCCCCCCCGCCTGGCTGTGAGTCAGCCCTCGGGAACCACGGCCTCACACCAGCCACTCCAGCTCCTTCCCACGGCCAGACTTAGAACCGCCCTTCCCACCCAACAAAACACGCCAACACAGAAAAGAGAGGCCCAGACAACTGTATTTCCACGTTCACTTTGGCTCCTGGTCACGCAAGAGGGGAAAAGCTCACAGAAGGTGGCACCAGCCCCCCTCCTCCCCTTCTTCCCCAACCCGGCACCAGCAAACGCCCTCCTAGATGGGGTCGAGCCCCAGGACCCCAAAGGCATCACAAGGCTGCCTTCTGTCCCTGAGTCCTGACCCTTCCAACCCCTTCCTGCTTGTCCTTAGGCCTCGGCATGCCCCTTCCACGATGGGCCACGTGGGAAGACGGGCCAGCAGCTCCCCGCTCTGGACCCCAGGCCAGGCGGGTGAAAAGCCCAGAGAACAGCCTGGCCCGGGGTGGGGGCTCAGTCCAGAAGTCCTGCCTGAGCAGCCAGGCCCCCGAGGCACGGGCTGGGGGCAGGTGGGGGGGGGTCCCAGGTGCAGGACGACAGGCAGCCAAGCCAGACTGGGGCTTCCCAGTTAGTGACGTGGCTCGACTCGGGGTCAGCCTAGTGGCTGCTGCCCCGCACCCCGCCCTCTACTAGACAGACAGAGACGCCAAGGCCAGGGAAACCACAGAACAAAACGGCAGCCCGAGAGCCTGGTGCCTGCAGAGCTGGGCTGTGAGTGTGAGTCTGAGCGTGAGTGTGTGCGGCAGGGGTGGCCGGGAGGGCGGGGGCGGCCGGCCTCCTCCTGCCAGACCCCTTCCTCCCCAGCGGGCGGGCAGCTAGAGCCTGGTGGCCTCGGCCAGGCCCACACGGTTCTGGTCCCGGTCGAACACGGTGTAGTAGCAGCCGATGAAGACGTCCCCCAGGATCCAGAGCGGCCCGCCGGGCGGGGGGATGTCCATGCCCATGAAGCCACTCAAGCAGATGGTCTTCCCGCCCTGCGACACCTGGGCCGGCCGCTGTGGTCAGCGCCCGGCCCGCAGCCCCAAAGGCCTCCGCCCCGCCCCGCCCCGGCCCCCGCTGACCTTGAGCGTGTAGTCCTCGGACGACAGCTTGTAGGGTTTGCCGCCCAGCTTCAGGGTGACCTCGGGCAGGGTGGACACCTTCTCACAGGGGATCATGTACTGAGGGAGAGAAGATGGAGCAGCTCGGGAGCGCTGAGGGGGCGGCGGGGGCACCCCGTCCCCGCGGCCCGGCCTGCTCACCTCGCCCTGGATCAGCGGCACAGCCCCGATGGCCTTCTGCAGCTCTCGTACCTCGTCCACAGGGCCCACGATGAGGGACGTGCCCGTGTCCACAATGGCCTCGCAGCCCCCCTTGCACAAGGTCAGGCTGCTGCCCACATCCACCCTGCAGGGGAGGGGCGTGAGCACGCCGGCCTGGGCTCGGGCTCAGGGCGGGCCTTGGGGGACAGTCCTACCTCCAGGGCTGCAGCCCTGCTGGGACCCTGCCTTCCCCTCTCTGGCTGTGCGCAGTGGCGGCACGGACTCAAGAGGTCAAGGGCGGGTTAACTGCCGGCCTCGAGATCGCAAGCGCAGGGTCAGAGCCAGGGGCCAGGAGCACAGGTGGGCACCAGGAGGTGGGAACGGACACCCAGGGCCAGGGGCCCGAGGGCTGTAGCTACCCGCAGGCCAGCTGAGCGGGCAGCTGGGCAGGGCCCCGCACACCAGGCTCCCCACGGATCCGAGCTCCGGCCCCCCGCCCAGCACTCACTGTTCCATGTGGACCTGCCAGTACGCCTTGCGGGTCACATTGAGGTAGGACAGGGGACCCTTGTAGTACTTGGAGTCTGTGCCGCCCAGCATGAGCTCACCCCCGGGCTGCGCGCCGGGGTCCCTGGGGGAAGAGAGGATCGAGTCAGCGGCACTTGCTCCTGGGTGCGGGCTGCCCACCCCCGCCCTGTGGGTCCAGCCTGACTGCTGGCAGGACAGGCACACACGGGGTCAAGCCAGCAGGAACAGGTGGAGCTGCAGAGACGGGAAAACCCGGAGGGAGCAGAGAAGGGAAAGGGCTCCCTTCTGTGGGGGCAGGGCTGCGATCCCACACCCGGTGAGGCCTGCAGAGGTGCCCGGCCCGCCGGTGAGGAAGGCCGAGGTCAGGCGAGCAGGCAGGGGGAGTGAAAGCTAGGAGCCAAGGAAGGGGACTGCAGCTGCCTGAGAAAAACCAACCAGGGAAGGCTTCTGGGGGAGGCACGGGACAGCACGGAGAGTCGAGCCCACTCATTCCTGCCCCAGGGCCTTTGTACCTACTGTCCGCAAGGATGCCCTTGCCCTCACACAACCGTTCCTGCTCCCCTTCACCTCTCAGCTTTCCCGCACACAGCCTGCACTGCCGGCCCTGCTCCCACCTCCACACTGCTCTAGACTCAGCGCTGGAACGCACCACCTTCCTCCCGGCCGGGCCCCACTCAGAAACACCAGGTCAAACCCTGTCTTCCCGCCCTCCCCCAGGCTTCACCCCTGAAATCCCAGCATGGAAACCACACGGCTGGCTCCCATCTGCTCCCCACCTGCTGCCCTGCCCCTCTACGCCTCACCCAGGGAGGCCTGAGCCTGGGCCCGAGGGCTCATGGGAAAGACCCCACCCCATTCAGCAGCGTGGGGTCTGGCAGGGGGCTCTGCCTCACGTGGCTGCTGAATTACCCCTGAGGGTGGCCCCCACGCTGAGGGCAGGAGCCGGGCAAGAGGGGAGGCTTCTGGGTGGGCACTCGGCCGGAGTGCGTGGGGCTAGACCCCGAGGGTGAGGAGGGGGTGTGCGGCGCAGTGACCACCAGCGGTCAGTGGGCTACCCACATCCGTCCTTGGCACACCCTCATCGGAACCTGTGGCACTGCCGCGAGGGAGACCGGGGGCCCCTTCTCGAGGGCACAGCACACAGGTCACCCACCCTTCCGTGTAGGGCCAAGGCCACTGGGACACTCGGCTCGGCTGCCAAGCGGCGGCTGGTGGGGGCCGCTCCCCACCATCAACCCCAGGCCGTGGTTCCCTCTAGCAGCATCTGGCACTGAGGGCCCCACCGGGGTCACCTCCTCTGGGAAGCCCCTCACCTCTGGAGGTCTGGCCACAGACTGGAGCTTGTGGCTCTGTTCCCTCTGGGCCGTCAGTGACTCTGGGGCCACATCGCCCACCATCAGACCCAGGGAAGCCCGGGCTGACTGACCATGAGCCCTGACCAGGGTCTGGCTCTCTGGGAGGGAGGCCCACGGAGCGAGACCCTGGGCCCACAGCCCGAGCCGCTCCTGACAGGAAGCCCCAGCCCCACAGCCTGTCCAGAGGGCTCCCCGCTCGTCTGTAAAGGAGTGGCCAGTTCCCTTCCTGATCAGAGGCTGCACGTCAGGAGCCGCAGCCTGGTGCCTAGAGGGGAGGCAGGCAGCCCAAGCCCCCAGCGTTGAGCCCCGCAGAGGTGGGAGGAGGGGTGAGGCATGGGGAGGAGACAGGGGCCCGAGCCCCTCCCACGCCACCTGTTCAGGTAGAAGGAGAAGATGTTCTTCTCTACCAGCTTCTGCTGCATCAGGTTATCAAAGACGGGAAGCACGTTGTTGACCGAGATGCGGGGGTACGCCATGCCCAGGATGCCGTCGAACTTGGCCGCGATGAAGGTGATGCCCGGCTGCTTGGTGGCTTCCCCGAACGTCTGCCTCTCCACCTTGACACCAGCCAGGCTCGACAGACCCGACTTACAGGGCACCTGTGGGCCGAGGGGGATGGTCAGTGGGCCATGCGAACCTCGGAGCCCAACCCCCGGGGCCCCGCGTGTGCATGCGTACAAGCCCCAGTCATCACCTGCGACCTCGCACAAAGCCCAGAAAGAAAGGCTGGCAACAGTGGGTGGGGACACAGCTGAGAAAAGGGACACAGGATTCCAAGGTCTTCAGCACAGAGTTTCCATCAGAGTTAACAGATGGCTGGGCTCTGGGCTCTGGGTTCAGCTCTGACCTTCTGGCTCCAGGCCAGCCCCACCCAGGCCGGCTCCTGACCTTGGGCTACTGGAACCCCATGACCCAACCCTACGACCCAACTCAGCAGACTCAAGGCCACACCACCCCTCCCCCACCACAGGCCAGGCAGCAGCTGACAAACACAGAGCAGGATGTGGGGACAAACGGCTGTTTGGGGCCGACACCCTGACAGCGGGAACAGGGCAGTGTACTAGCCAACATCCTCTTTTGGGCCACAGAGATCAGGAGGAGACCCAACAGGGCAGGTGGGTCCGGGGAGGGGCAGTGTCGCTGCAGGAGGGGCCGCAGCCACCACGCCCCGTCGCCTTCCAGTCCTGCTGGGGCCGGGGGCCAGAGGCTGCGGGGCCGGGGCCTGTGCCGTGTTCCGCTCTGCTCCTCTGCCCCCAGAACTCTCAGTCCTGACCCTTCTGGTGGCTGCACGCTAAGAGGTCTCACAGAGGCGCGGGCACATCCATCCAGGGCCTGCCCACCTGCTTCACCCCAAAGATACTCTGAGGCAGGCACGGTACCCAGAGGGACCTCCAGTGTCCTCTATGGGGACTCCCGGCACATCTCTGCCCTCCCTTCCCAGTGGCCAAGGCATTGGAACAGAAGTCAGTCCCTTGTAACCGGCCCCCCCACCCGGCTGTCGGCCGTGACCCAAGGAGGAGCCTCATCTGAATCACTTCTGGGTCCTGATCCCAGACCGGCCCACGGCTCTCGCACCCACGGCCTCGTGGCCCCACTTTCCCTACAGCCCTCCAGGCTGTCACGGTGCACGTACCCCCAGAAACGCACGGGACCAGGTCTGCTGCCTGAGCCCAGCCCAGCCAACCGCCGCCCCCCAACGCTCCTGCTCACGCCTCAGAGGCCCTGCCCTGGGGGGCTGTCACCACGCCTTCGGAGCGCCCTGGGGCCCAGGGCGGGCATCAGCAGGGACTCACCGACACGGTGTCCTGGCTCAGGTACCCGGAGAGGCTGCCGGAACCGTAGTGGATGTCGAAGCTGGTGCCGTTCTTCACGTAGGTGCTGGACTTGCCGCTGTTGTACTTGTGGTGCACCCCTGCGCCGGCCGAGAAGCCCGTCAGCCCGCCGCCCGGCCCCCGCCGTGGAGCCCCCCACCAGGCCATCCACCCGGATCGGGCCAGACCCGTGACCCCAGGCTTGGTGTTGGCCGGCAGTGGTCGGGCCTGGCCTGCCCCATCCTCTGCCACCACAGTCCCAGAGACTCAAAGCTAGGCTGGCGTGAACGGGTTCCCCTGGAAAGTGGGGTGCCCTGGGGCAGGGCGGCGGGGCCAGGCCTGCCCAGTGTGGCCGAAAGGCGTCAGCAGCCGACAGGGGCCGAGGCAGGGCCACCGAAGGCCCAGGGCCGGCCGGCTGGCGCCAGCTCCAGCTGCCATCCCCGACCGTAGCCCGGGGTGGGGGGGGTGGGGGGCGTGCTTCCCTGCGAGGCGGCGGCTGGGCCCCGCCCCCACCCCCGCTGCAGAGGCCGCGCGGAGACTCACAGCAGGCGATGTCCAGCAGCTTGCAGTGGATCGACGGGACCCACAGGTTGGAGGAGCCCGTGTCGAAGACGACCGTGAAGCACTGCGGGGGCGTCCCGATGCCGATCTCCCCGTAGTACTGCGCCTGCGCGGGGGCGGGGTCCGTCAGGGCCGCGGGCACCGGCGCCCCTGGTTAGCCTGCGGCCAGACCCCGCGAGGCCCAGGCCAGAGGACGGACACCCGGGCTCCGCTTCCGCCCCTCCGCCGCCCTTGGTCCTCACACCCCTGGGCGCTGCGGGTTCCTGCCTGACCACGTGAGGGTGGGGGACGACCACCCCATTTAAAAGGTGAGACCAGCAGTCACAGCGGCTCGGCGGGCCCCGGGGCCCCGGAGGACTTGCCAGGAAGACACCTCTGCCCCAGGCCCCCAGCAAAGGTGACTACCTCCCCACAACAGGGGGGCACGTCAGGGCTTGCCTCTGGGACCTCATTCCCATCCTGCCCTTGCTCCACCAGACCAAGCCTGGTGGGCTCCTAGGCAGAGGCATGAGGACAGCCAGAGGAGGTACACCCTGGAGGCCAGAGTGTTGGCTCAGATCTCTCCCTGCCAAGACACCCTGCCTTCGCACCCAGGGCCTCAGTTTCTTCATCGGTACACGGGGGAGGAGGGCAGCCTGTGGGAAGCCCGGGGCGGCTGAGCCATGGCCCAGGTGAGCATGAAGAGGGCACATGCCCCTCGGACCCTCAAAGGGAAACCCGGTCACTGGGGCTCTCCCAGGTCAGAGGACACGGTGGCTTGGATGGGAGACGTGGGCTTGGGGTCCCCTGGGCCCTACTTGTCTGGGCGCCCCTTCTCCGGGGACGGAGGCTGGGCCCTGGGTCACTAAGGGATTCCGGCTCCAGTCCCTGCAGGACTGTGTCTCCTGCCACTTGGCTCCAGGGAGAAGCAGCAGCTACTGCCTCATGACCCGGAATAAGTGTCCAGATTTGGGGGGGCTGGGGATGACTCAGCAAATCCCCGTGTGTGTGTGTTTGTGTGTGTGTGTGTGTACACAAGAGCTTGCACTAGGGGATCAGGAACTGGTTGGTCAGGCCCTGAGAGAGATGCCCCCCCCAGCCCAGTCACATGCCTGTGAGGCCACAGCTTCCTGGCACGGCGGGTGCTCCGGCCAGACAGGACAGAGGGCATGGCCACATGTCCCAACCCCAGGTGGACCAGTGTCTGGACAGCAGCAAGGACCTAGGTCCACCACACGGGGGCGGGCCACACAGGAAGACGCCACCTGGGCCACCCCAGAGGTGCAGGCGGGGTCCCAGGACCTGACCCCGAGCTGGGACCAGGCCGACCCGGCCCTGGCTCGGTATGGGGCTTACAGCATGTCCGGACTCCAAGCCTGTCTGCCCCTCGAGGAGCACTGGGTGCGATCAGCACTGGCTGCTGACCAATGAGGAAGGAGGGATGGAGGCAGGAGAGGGTCACGGGGAGCACCAGGCCTTCCAGCAGGACAGGCAGAAACAAAAGAACTCCAGAGCCATTAATTAGGCCTGGACAGGGAGGCCCGGGTGACCCGAGCACAAGGACCCCGCAGCCCCTTGGGGCCTGAGTCTGATTTGGGCTCCTCCATACCCAGCTGATGGCCGTGGGCCCAGCTCACTTATCTGTAGCCCGTGACCCTGTCCCCCACGCCCACAGGCTGGCCTCAAGAACAAGACAGCTCCTGATGCCCTTGACAGTCAGTGGGACGCAGAGGGAGAGATCACAGAGAAGCCAAGGGCACCCCCACCTCCCTGCATGCCCCGCCCCCCAGGGCCAGGCCCCTCATGGGAGTCCTCATGGGGCAGGGGTAGTGGGAGGAGCACCCAGCTGGGCAGAAGCCCCTCCCCCCACGAAGCAGGTGACTCCTGCAAAACCACAAGGTGCTGAGGAGAGGGACTTCCTGCCCACTCACTCAGAGCTTTCCGTCCTCACCGGGGCTTGCTGTCCACCCAGCCCGCGCCCCGAGAGGACAAGCCCCATACTCACGTCCATGTAGTTCTTGAGCACCTCCGGAACGGGACCGCCCACCACACTGGGCACCCCCTGGGCGTATTTTGAAATGGGGCCTCTGGCGATCAGATCCTCCACGGGGCCCCCCCAACTCCGACATGGTCCGGCGCACAGAGGTGAACTTGTGCAGCGGGATTCTGTCAAGAGGAGGAAGAGGGGCTCATCAGGGCTTGCCTCCCTCTCCCACCGGACTGCTCCGTACCCTCCCCCATCCCTTGTCCCCAGTCTGTGCCTCCTCCAGTCCCTCCTGGGACAGCGGCCCGTGGGGTCCGTTAGGACATGGGTGCCCATCCGTCACACCTGCCCCGTGCTCTCTGAGGGAACCCATTCACCTGCGCTCCAAATATGCGTGGATATCCAAATATCCACGGAGCCCCCATGCAGAGGTGCTGCCCACTTCCCTGCCTGGCCTCCGGGGCAGGCTATGCCTGGTCATCAGATGGGACTTCGATGCCACCACCTCTGAGAAGCCCTCCTTGGCCATCCTTCAGTGTGACCCTGTTTCCCTCAAGGGCCCTCGCAGTAGTGAATTCATTTCCTGCCAGTGCGTCTTCTGTCCTCATCGCGGTGCAGACCCCAGGAAGGCAAGGCCTGCCCTGGGGTGGTGGAGGTTTCTGCCTCTGGGTCTGCCTTCCCCTGAGATGCCCACGGCTCCCCCAGTGCCAGCCCCTCCCAGTCTTGGCGGTCTGCCTGGGCAGAGAGCACGGGGTTGAGGTCAGGTGGCCGGTTCTTTTGCATGTGGGTCCCTCCCTGGCCTGGGATCTTGCTCCTGGGTTTCAGCTTGCTCCCAGCTCTGACGGTGCAGGGGACAGGAAAGCACCCCTGAGCACACTCCAACCCTTGGACGGCAGGCCCTCCCAGCCCAGGCGATTTGGGAGTTCAAGGTCACAGCTGGCCCTTCCTGGCACACCAAGGGCGTGCTTCAGGAAGATGGGACTCTTGCCCAAGACCTGGTAGGCTGTTAGAGTCCACAGTTCTCGCCTGGAGGAAGCGGACACGCCCTCCAGTAACCCAGGAAACAGGTGCCATCAGTCCCACAGGACCGGGAAGAGGTGTGAGGGGCTCTGGTCCAGCTGCCCAGCCCGCACAGCCGCAGCCTCCACTCCCCATGGCCGTGCATCCCCGGCGGGGAGGCCTGTGGGTGGCACCAGGATAGGCGCAGCCCTACAGCTGCCTCCTGACAAAGACTCCATTTGGGGCTACGTGCCCCCAAGCCACAGCCCGTGGTGAAGCCCACGCCGAGTGGCCTCCTGGCAAGGGTGACTCCCACTTGGCCCCCAGCCAGCTCCCACAGCTCTGTGACCTCACCCACCTGCCCACGGGCAAAAGGACCACGGCAAAGGTACAAGGATGCCTTCCCAGGCCTGGCACCAAGGCCCCGGGGGGAAGGGTGGGTGCGGGACCAGAAGGGGCTGGCCCTCTGCCCCCCCCCATCTGGGAAAGCAGGCTGCCTGGCAAGAGTGGGAGGGTGGGCGGTGGCCGTGCTGGTCCTCCGCCTGGCTCAGCCGCATCCAGGCCCGGTGGTGGATGGACTCCCCTGGTACCGGGGACAGGGCCCTGGGCCTGAGGAAGGTGTGGTCCTCACGAAGGCAGGGACCGGTGGGGAAGGCTGCTGCAGCCCGGCCACTCACCCAGACCCTCCCCTTAGGCTACCTCCCTTCTGTCTCTGAGACGCTGGGCGGGGGGGCTCCCCGCGCCACAGGGTCCCCCGCCCCAGAGCCCCCGGCACGGACCGAGGCAACCACGCCCAGTTCACAGCCGGCAAAGGAGGCGGCCAAGCGGGCGCTGGGGCTGTGCGGGCCGCACGCGGGGGTCCTGGCTTCCGCACGCGGCCGCGAGCGCAGGGACCGCGATGCACCTGTCCTGGGGACGCTCGGTCGGCCCGGGCCCCAGCAGCCCTCGCTCGCGCAGCCGCCCGCCCCCCACGGCAGACCGCACGGCAGCAGGTCGAGAAGGGGCGCGGGCGCGCGGGGGCGCGGGGGAGGCCCCGCAGGAGGCGGCGCGGGCGCACGGCCGCATTCCGGAGCCGAGGCGCGCGGAGGGCGCCGGGGCGCGCGGGGCCTCACCGGACGAGCGCGGCGGCAGGCGCAGCGAGCAGCCCGAGGACGAGCAGCAGCAGGCTTGGGGGCTGCATGGTGGCGGCGGCGGGGTCGGAGCCGAGCGCCGGGAGGCCGCGCGCTTATAGCCGGGATGACGGCGCACTCCGCCGAGTCAGCTGACCGCTCTGTTTGCACCCGGCGGGTCACGCGGGCCGCGGCCGGCGTGCGCGGGGCGGGGCCGGGGCGGGGCCGGGGCGGGGCGGGGCCATCCGGGCCGGGCCCCCGCGCGGGGCCGCGCACGCCGCTCGAGGGCGCGCACGCAGGCCGGCTGGTTCCCGGATGGCCGCAGCCCGAGGGGTGCGCGGGCGCGGCGGCGGTGGACGCTGGCAGAGGCCGCCGGGGACCGGGCTTGGGACTCTGGGGACCGGCAGCCGGGCAGCCCCCGAGCCCGCGGCTCCGTCGCCGCCCCAGACCCGCTGGCTGTGCACCGCGAGAGGCCGCGCCGTCCTTCCCAGGCCCCCCCCACTGCACCTGCTGCAGCGCAGGCCTCCGCCCAGGCCTCCTCTTCCACCTCCGCCAGCCACTCTTCTACCCAGCGTCCTGCAGACCTCATCCTGTCTCCAAGTGTTCCTAGGCGCCCCCTTCCAGCTCCCCAGAGCAGCACCCGCCTGACCCTATCCGGGGTCCTCCGTCCTCTGGGGGCCCACGGTCCCCTCCAGGCCCATCTCCAAGGATGCTGGGCGGCGGGATCACATAAGGAGCAGGGTCTCTCACCTTGAGCGATTGGGGTCGTCTTCACCAGCCTCGGGAGAGTCCCTCCCTGGGGCCAGTGCTCAGTCCTACTGAGGCCACAGTGACCCTGGGCCCTCCAGGACCTCCCACCTCCGCCAGTCACTAAGGCATGCCAGCTTGCTGTCGGAGGGGAGGGCCCTGTCCACTTCTCCAGGCAGAGGCCAGGCGGGCATGAAAGAGGAAGGGAGTTTGGGTAGGTGACTTTGGAGAGGGTCCATGCTGAGAATGTGCTAGAAGGTGACCCTTGCTGGGAGCAGGCCCCTCTGGGAAGATGACGTTTGAGCAGAATGTGAACAATGAGGAAATTTCCTCAAGGGACTCGCCTATAGGGCACTTTTTCTCAAGTGGTCCTGTGGGCTACCCCACTTAAAGGCGGGCAAACGTGTTCTGTGGCCCATGGCAGGCAGGACTGGAATCCCCATCTTTTCTGTGACCACCAAATCAATCAGGACCCTGACTCAGCCATCACCCTCCCACCCCCGTCAGCCTGATGGCCACAGATGAAGGACCACGGCCTCGCCCTGCCTCCACACCGGCCGTTGCCCACATTTGTACTGGATTCACCTGGTTCGGTTCCAGCTATGAGGACTGGAGCCAGGAGGGAAGCCGGCAAACACCCCTACCTTCAGAATCTGCCCCCAGGTGTGCAGGTCCATGCCCACGCACCGCGCAGGCCCCAGAGTGGGGCCCTCACTCGGGGCATTATCACCTCCCTGCTGGTGGGCCGCTATCTCAGACGGGGCAGCTGGGCTCTGATGGGCTGGACACCACATGCGCTCAAAGGTGGTCCCAGCTGGTGTCCCCCTGGGTCCCCACTGCCCACAAGACTACATGTGTCGTGATGTTCAGATATAGATGTGAGAAAACAGCCTCGGAGGGGGCTATCTGCTTTGTCCACAGGGGCACTTACAAAGCCAGCCGCAGTGTGGACAGCGAGAGGGCTCAGTAGTGTGACATGGCCACCGGTTGTGTCTGGCTGGGGCAGGTGCCAGCCAGGCGGAGACCCTGGGCTTTCCCTGAGCAGGGAAGGGACCGCTGGTGGCCTAAAGCCTGGAGAGACCGAGTGTCCAGCTACTCCATACAGAGGGAGGACATTGTCTCTGTGCTGTTCCCGTGACCCCCCCCCAGTACCCAGAGCAGGGCCTGCATGGGGTGGGGGGGCACTCCTGGACAGTGATATGTGGGAGAGATACACAGGCCCCCTAGACCCAGTCTTGTGCCCACCAAAATGTGTCGGTCCAGAGTGGTCTTCAGGGTTCCTGGCTGACTTCTGTGCTCCTTCTCTCCTAGACTTTCCACGATGCCCTGATTCCTTACCTCACCAATACCCAGGAGAGGTTTGGGGCGGAAAGGGAGTGGGAGGGGCCGCCCCTGGGCCTTGCAGCTGCTCCCCAGAAGGTAACTCGGGGCTCCCTCCCTGGGGGGCATATCTGGGCCCTGCTGGGCCTCCTCCAGCCAGCTCCAGACAAAGCCATGTGCCACCTTCCACAGCTGCTCTGGCCTGGGGCCCGAATCCCTCTAGCCTCAGTCAGGTGCAAAGGTCCCAAAAGGCCCCTGCCCCTGCCAAATGTGAGGCCAGGCCAAGGAGACATGCTCTCCTGATGGACCAAAGGCAGTGGGCCCAGCACAGAACTACAGGGCTTAAGGGCATTCCAGTGCCCACTGACCAGGTACCCCAGGGCAAACCTGGGAGGAACGGGACTCCCAAGTCCGTTCAGCAGGTGCAGAGTGTCCTGGAAAGCTGAACCCAGTGAGGAGCCCAGAGTATGGCTCCGGTGTCGCTGGCTCCTGGTAGGTGGGGGCCAGGGTCTAGAGACTGTCCTGCCCAACCCTGGACTCTCTAGCAGGGAGAGCCAAGGCCCCGATGGGTAGGGTAGGCCTGGGTGAGTCAGAGGATGAGAGTGGGTTAGAGGCCACATCCGTCTGACCTCCACTCCCACGCGTCACATGTCAGGCCCCCGGGACCCCGTGCACCCACTTGTCTCTCTCCTGGGCAACCGTGCAGCACCGTCGTGTGCCAGGCACTGCTCTGGGCACCAAGGAAATGTCGGAGACAGCGCAGCGGACTTGGGGCACAGGGAGGACGAGAGGGACGAGGAGGAACACATTGCATGAGAGAAGCTTATGTGAGCCGACTCAGCAGGTGATGGGTCAGCAGACTGGGGAAGAGGCAGCTGAGTGCACCGGGCAAGGGGTCAGAGGCGGGCCGGCCCGTTGGGGCGCTCAGACTTGCAGCCACTGGGAGGACCCTGGTTTGCCTCTGAGGGTGATGAGCTGAGGGTCCTGAGCTGATGCAGACTGATGCAGACAGACCAGCATCTCCCTGCCACTGTTCTGAGATGGGGGGGGCTAGTGGGGGAGGGGCGGGAGGGAGGCAGTGCCTGGGTCAGGGCGGTGGTGGAGGAGGCAGGGAGAAGCGTTTCAGGATCCATTTCTGAGGCCAGGCAGTAGGATTTCCCGATGGGCTGGACAAGTGGCGTGTGATAGAGGGGTCAACGCTGACTTGGGTTCTGGGCAAAACATCCAGGGGGGTAGCGTGTTATTGGCAGAGCCAGGAAGGGAGGCGGGAGCAGGGACCTGGGAAGAGGACTGGGAGCTCTGTTTTGGATGCGTCCGGTTGAGCTCGTGCCCCTTTGGACATGCAAGGGGCGCTGTTGACGGGCAGCAGCTGCGGGAGCTGGGGAGGTTGGAGGCGGCCGCGGCAAAGTGTAGACACAGACGCGGAAGGCCCCCAGGCCGCTCAAGTCTGAGAGGTGAGGGAATCGAGAGGGAGCAGCAAGGAAGACTGAGCCTGAGCAGCTGGGACAGGAGAGACCAGGAGGGGGTGCCTGGAAGCCAGCGGAGAGCCATCGGAGGACACTGTGGCCCGCCGTGCCACGTGCCTCCGTCGCGGAGCGGGCGAGGATGGGACCATTCGCCGGCCCCTGGATTTCGCAATCTGACCTTGAGGAGAGCAGTGTCAGGCCGGGATGTAGACCCCGTGATGAAGACAGTGTGGTGTTGACCCAGAGGAAACAAGTAGACATCTGGGACAGGGGAGAGTCGCACCTGCGGAGAAGGACAATCTTCTCCATGAACGGATGGGTGGACCGGAGGATGTCAAGCCCGCCCTCACACCATACACGGCCATCCACTCCAGGGGTGTCAGAGACCCGAACGGCAGCGGGAAATCCTCTCGGGGGAAGAAGACGCAGGAGAATGTCTTCTTGATCTTGGAATCATGAATTTAACCAACGAAGATTTGTTTAAGGAGGAAACGCAAAAAATGCCAAACCTGCCAAAGACGTCGTCAAGATAACAAGACGACCTTCACGTAGAAGAACGCCGCAGTGAGGTACACATCTGGTACAGGACCGATCTCCACAGTATGTGAGGAACTCTCCAAACTCGGGGATAAGAAAACGAACAACCCACTCAAAAACAGGCCAAAGGCCTGAACGGGCACGTGGCCTCAGAAAAATCCAGAGGGTACATTCGCACACAAGAAGACGCTCCTGCCACGTAGGAAACGCACCTCAAACTACACTACACGCCTCCTAGGAAGGCCACAGTCCAGTCCCGGACAGCACGAAATGCTGGTGAGGACTCAAGCAACCGGACACGGCCGTCCACTGCTGTTGGGGACGCGAGATGCTGCAGTGGCTCAGGGAGGCACAGCCCTGAACATCTGCGTCCGTGCGACGGGCCACCGTGCTCCATGGCACACACCCAAAGGAGTCGAGGACTGATGTCCACACGGAAACCTGCACGTGGATGTTTCTAGAAGGTGTCCTCGTGATTGCCAGCACTTGGAAGCAGCCGAGAGGCCCTTCGGCAGGTGGGTGGGTGAACCGTGGTCCGTTCGGCACAGGAAAGGAGTGAGCTAGGAAGCCATGAAATTTCACGGAGGCAACTTACGTGTCTCTCACCACGTGAAGGAAACCCCTTGCTGTGTGATTCGAATGCGGGGACATCCTGGAAGAGGCAAACTGTGGAGACAGTAGCGAGACCCCTGGTTGCTGAGGGTTCGGAAGGGAAGGGGAGAGAGGAATAGGAGGAGGACAGAACCTCGCGGCCGGGAAACTACACGGTGCGGGACTGGAAGGGCAGACGCGGGTCTCCCTACACTTGTCAAAACCCACCCAAGGTGCAATGGGGCGTGAGCCCGGCCATCAGAGATGGACCTCGGTGAACAGGGGAGCAGCGCCGGCAGGTCGACCTCGACAACCCCCGAAGAGGACGTCCACAGCGTGGAAACCGTGTGTGTAGGAAGGATGGGTTTGGGACACGTCGGCCATCAGCCAGTCTTTCTGTAAATGTAAACCCGATCTAGAAATTAAAGTCTCCTAATGGCAAAAGAGGAGCGTCAGTGTCTCTTAGGGGGGAAAGGATCCATTAGACTACACGAAAATTCGCAACTTC